ATCTAAATTAAATATTTATTCCAATGTATAATTCTAATTTTACAAAAAAATTATCATAAAATAAAAAATATTATTACATTATAATATGAATGATTATTCTAATATATGAATTAACTATTTTTATTTTATTAAAAAGGAATCATTAAATAAAAAATATTGATTATATTATAATATGAATTATCATTACAATTTTCAAACGTTATTATAAAGTCAAATTAAATTATTGATTTGAAATTTTAAATTAAATCATAATTAATCAGACCAGACCAGATCAGATCAGATCAAATCAGACCAGATCAGATCAGATCCAATCAGATCAGATCAAATCCAATCAGATCAGATCCGATCAGATCAGATACAATCAAATCAGATCAGATCAGACCAGAACTTATTAGAATCAGATCAGATCAGAAAAAATAAGTTGAACGGAACGGAGCCTTAATTCACTAATACCAAAGAGAACTAGGAGATTTTGTTCCAAAACTAAGGGTAACTCACATATATTAGTCTTTTTAGCCTTTGATTTGTTTTCAACAAACTTGGATGAAAATAAAAGATAATAGGCAATTGCAAGCAAAACAGCATCAAGAGAGAATTTCTGAATTCAATTTAATTCTAGGACTACAACAATCACATTAAAAGGGAATGAGAGAGAGATAGAGAGATACATACAGAACTAAGATTCTGATGATGAAGTAGAAGAAGATGACGATTTGCTGATGACCAGAAAACTCTTCGAATTCCCAGTCGCAATTGATCTGGCCAGCGAGTAAGCCTTCGCGGCGGCAATCCGAGCTTTCCCTTTCCAGATATTTCTCCGGATTCGTGACTTAGATCGGGACCGTCTCTTCTTCGGAACCGCACAGATCCCGCCGTGTTCGATCTCGTAGAATCCGTCGTCCGCCGCTTCAACTTCTTCTTCTTCTACATCCGTCTTCACCGGACTCAGGCGATCCCAGGCGGCTTCGATTTCATAGGAGAGCGGCTTGGCTGCGTGGTGCAGCGCAGCAGGGAGGGTGATTTTCGAGGGTTTGAGGGGCGAAATGGGAAACGCAAAACGAGCGGGGATGGGGTTTGATGTGGGAATCGCGGAGATGTGAGATGTGAGGAAGGAGATGGATGGAGCTGTGGACGCCATTGGAATGGCCGATTTGCTTGAGATTGATTTTTTTGAGCGTCGGGAAAGGATAAGGAATAAGGATACAATGCGTAGGATTTTGGAGGACTTGGATTGGGCCAGTTGATCATGGTTTGGCTTTACCGGACGAAAAACTGGTCTCGTAGAAATAAGTTATTCTTGATGTACTCTCATTTGATCCGATTCCAATAAAAATAAGTAATAAATTAAGAGAATAAGTTGGGGAAAACATGACCTAAGTAGACCTGATCAATGTTTGGGCCGGGTCGAGTTTTGGATCGATCCGAGAGAATGCATTACCAGAGTTCTTAAGGTCCAAGCCCAGTTCGGCTCGCATGTCGGGTCTAAAAATGAAACCCGAGTCCAGCTCACATGACAACCCACAGACTACGAGCCAGCCTGGTTGTGAACATTAAAAAAATCAACACTTTCTCCTAAATATTTCAGAGAAAAAATATAAATTTTAAACATCAATATATTTGGTGTGCGTATTTTATCAAAAAAATGATACGGTGTATATATATCACGGAGTATAAACTAGAATACATACATTGCACTAAAATATTTACTAAATTTATAAGTAAAAAGTAAGTATTGAATAATATTCTGCATATTCTTTTAAGTAATCATATTCTGCCTATATAAGGGTAGGCAAATTATATGTTGGACCTAAGGTCTACCATAGACCTACCTATACATATGAACAAAATAAGTATTTTTTTACTACTTAAATAAGCATTTGTTTTTTTATATAAAAAAAATTTTTATGTGAGAAAGTCCACAAAATTGATATGCATCCAAGGTGTACCAAAGAAGCACTCATAAAGGTATATATCATATACTACTCCGACAACTCCATATTATTTATATACTTTCATATTATTTATAAAGATCGGAACATAGCTCATACCCGACCCGCAAAACTTGCAGCTACCCATAATTTACAGGTCTGGCCGGCCCTGAATGCTACTATTAATAATAATACATGAAAAACATATCATTTTTAGATTCGCTATTTGGGAAATAGAAAAATATTGGAGAAAATGGGAATATTTGGTAAATTAGAAGAAACTGAAAGAGGCTAAAAAAACTGGAAGAAAGTAAAAGTTAAGAGTTTAAACATTAAAAGAGAAGCTCTAAAAATAATGTAACACTTTAACTATTAATAAATATACATTTCTACATATATATATATATATATATATATATATATATATATATTATGAAAATGTTATATTTCAAAATGACATTTCATAAGAAAATTATTGGTATTATATTTATATTGAAACACAAACTATTTTTTCTACATATCAAGGCCAAAGTTTACAAAATTTTACCAAAAAAATCAAACGGGGATATAATTTCAAGACGGAAGGAGCAAGTGTTTTAAGCATAAAAAATACTCCCTTCGTGGCTCCGTCCCTCATAGAGCTTCTGAGACATCATTCACATGATCAAACTTAACTCACTTCGTTTGTTTATGTTCAATTATGGAGTGTAGTAAAAATTACCAGAGTATAATTTTGTCACTTGTTATTTTGTAGAGATTTTCATATAATTTTTGCTACTCCATATTTAAATTTTGTTTTTAAATTTTAAACCTACAATCAATTCAAATAAATTAAATCAAAAATAAATTTTATCAAGCTTCATAACGCGTAATGAAAAGATCTATGGGGGACGGACGGAGTATGTATGCTTTTCGTCCCAAAAAATTTGTTCTATTTTGATTTTTTTATGCTAACTTTCATAACAAATTAAATATAGTTTTGACTAAATGAAAGTTATAAAAATTTGATATGTCAAAATTATATCTTAAAATAAATCTATTTATACTAAATTTACACTATATATAATTAGAAATATTTTCTTACAATTTATCATCAAAATCAATATTAAAATTAAACTGGGACAAACAATTTGACAGAGAGAGGGAGTACATGAAATCTTTAAATCCCAAATGATCACTGACGTCTGCAAATACAAATATGCAATGCCACCAAACCCTTCAAATCTTCAACTGATTTTATTTATTTTCAGTAGGATTTACGATACATGAAAACATTAAAACCCAAATGATCTAAGCAAAGCGTTTTTATATATCTACATATATATGCATGTTGCTGCACGCTAGCAATTCCAACTTATGAGACGATCGAGAAGAGAGATGCATGGAATGAACATTATTTCTACATATTATTTATATATATATATATATATATATATATATATATATATATATTCATTTGCACCCATAGTACATCGGACCGATCATTAAATGATCGATCCGATATACAAAAGGTTATTCCCTGACGTCAGCGTTCGTGCGGTCAGGTGGGACGCAATGAAACTGCTGGCGTTTGTAGTGGAGGAAAGCAGTCGCTTTGGCATCAATCTCGGGGTCGGCCACCCAACCGACTCGATCTTCATCGCTCGGCCACACCTTGTAATAAGCCTTCTTCACTAACCCGTCGTCCTCCCTCTTGTAATAGTCCTCTTCTTCGCTCCGCGCCTTCTTCTTCGTCTTGAATCTCAAGAGTCCAAGGAAAGAACACACCGATTTTTTCCCCATTTTTTTGTTAGATATCTATATGTATGGTTATTATATGGTGTATGTTTTAGTGTGGTTTTGTTGGGAGGT